TTCCCTCACTAACTCTTCTTTGACTACTGTTGTTTCTTCTTTGGCTACTCTTTCTTTGACTAAACTCTTCTTTGACTAACTGTTTCTTTGCTAAATCTTTCTGTGACTAACTCTTTCCCTCACTAACTCTTTCTTTGACTAACTCTTTCCCTGACTAACCGTTTCTTTGACTAACTCTTTCTTTGACTAACTCTTTCCCTGACGAACTCTTTCTTTGCTAACTCTTTCTTTGACTAACTCTTTCCCTGACATTCTAAAAGTCTGTAACACGGAAGTTTCTCCCCCTAAACTTCCTTTGATTATATGATATTATATAATGTTACATATACGTGATACTATAATATACATGATATTTATGATATAACATATAATTATGAATATATATATATATACATATATAACTATATGTTTCAGACATACATGTACACAAGATGGTGTGTATATATATATATGTATATATATATATAGATAGGTATGGATATGTTTCTTTATAACGAGGTCACTGGCCAATGTCACTAGACATGATGCTTTACGTCTGGGGAAGTCTCCCAAAATGGACCAATGATTTCCGGGCATGACCTGGCTGCAATCGTCGGACAAAATATATCACTGTGAAACAATTTTTGATTGGAGATGAGGGATAGTTCTAGGCATATCAGACTTTATCTGTATCAGAATCTGTAAAGAACCAGCAATATTGATCATATGTTCATATATTTTCTGATTCCAGTCGCTTTAGGTTTTTCTGGGGAAACCACTTGAGCTCACGCTGGTGGTGAGGCCCTTGCATTCGAGGATCTGCACTACAAGGCCTTCAAAAAACCGGCTTCCAAGCTGGATTTCACTGAGTAAAATATACGACATATGGAGGTTTCCTAAAATGAGGGTACCCAAAAATCATGGCTATCAATACTAAAAATGATCTAATTTTGGATGATTTTGGGTACCACTATTTTAGGAAACCACCATATACGTATACCTGTGTATGTTTTTCTATTTACATCTATTTACTGCATGTACATGTACACATATCTATAGGTTATATATGCAGCGTCAAAGAAGGCTCTCTCTCTCTCTCTCTCACGGATCACCCACAGAGCTTGTCTGCTGATGCTGGAAGAAGAAATATATGGTGTTCAATCCTTTCGGTTGGAATGCTATAGGGATGCTATAACATATTTGCATGTACATAGCTATATAATATAGTATGGTATGCCATTAATAGAACATTATACAATATACATTGCCACAATAATACCACATATGGTTCTTGGTAGTAGCAGTTGGTGTATGCTTCGTATTGCAGCGATGCCCAGGGGCTGTCTCTGGCAGACTATCTGGACACTCTGAGGGATGTGCAGGAAGAGAAACCACATGAGGCGAGGTCACTTTTCGGTTGCGACGGGTTGCGACGTGATTTGTGTGTTTCCGTCAGGATGAACATATAACGAGTTACTGTAACTAACAAACACCATCAAATTAACCATCGTGGGACTATCATCACATTAACCATCAGTAAATGGGACTATCATGGGAATATACCCTCTGGTAAACTAACATAACCATGGAACACCACAATTTTTAACGGGTTCATGATCTATAAATCTGGCATGTTCCGGTCTCGCCAGCAGGCCACACTGGAAACCCAAGCGGTTTCGATATCCCATCGGTTTGGTTTTTGAATTCTCCGTGAGTTTGATGATTTGATGAGGATTTGTTGATGATTTGTTGATGATGGTTGATGATTTGTTGATGATTTGTTGATGATTTGTTGATGATGGTTTGATGACTCTTGCCGACTCTTGGGTGCGGTGTTACACAGTGATACGCCCTGATGGTTCACTGTGCCGCCCAGGGCCTGTCTCTGTCAGACTATCTGCCGCAGCAAGATGAACCATACCAGGCCAGCCATTCCATAGCAGTCATATGCCATCCTGAAATCAATCAGATATGTGGGCATGTTTAAATACTTACATATAAGATATATCACTATATACATCTTATGCACTATTATCATTATATATATTACATGTTATATATATATAACTTTTATAACTATATGGCTTATGCATATTATATATACGTGCTATTATACATACATATTGTGTGTATATATATATATTTAAATAGATTACACATAACACACACACAAACACACACACACACATATATATACATACATACATACATACATACATACATACATACATACATACATACATACATACATACATACAAAACATGTACTCTGCAACCCTGAGGTTGCCGCGTCTGACTTCAGGTGGCTATGAAGATAAAGTTGATGTTATTACCCCAATCAACATATTGTTCATAGGGGGTGGCGAATTTTGATCCCTCATGGAGATAAAGTTGATGTGATTACCCCAACCAACATATTGTTCAGAGGGGGTGGCGAATTTTAATGTGATGATGATCATGATGTGACGATGTGAGTATGTGACTGTGTGATGATGATGATGATGACGATGATGATGGTGATGATGGGGATGATGGGGATTATGATGATGACGATGATGATGGTGATGATGGGGATGATGGGGATGATGATGATGATGATGGTGATGGTGTTGTTGATGATGATGATCATGACCATGATGATTGTAAGTGTGACAGCAACGTCCGGGTTGGCGCGAACATGTATCGTCGTTCCAAGTTCCTGCGAACTTGGGACAATTGTTTTTTGCCACGACGGCTGGCCAGGTGAGCGAGTGCTCCTTTATTTTGGTGGACGATGATGTCCAGTCCTGCCACAGTTGGACCATGATTTGATCGAAGGGAATTTTGAAAAAGACCGCTGGAAGGGTTGAGGCCAAAGAACATTCATATGACCATTATGACCACTTGAAGTTGGAACTCAAATCATTCCTTGGTTAAGTCGACTTGTTTTTTTGTTGGCAGAAAATCTCATATTTGATGGTTCGCAATGCCGATAGCAGTGGCATGTCGGACCGACTTGTACAGAACTTTTAGTACCAAGCCCGCGCTTGGAAAGCATCGCTTCATAGATGCAACATGGCTCCTGGGAAAAGGTGGTGTGAAACTAGAGATCTCCCAGCTGGGACTCTTTCCCCATCTTTCCCCGCCGATGTACAGCGCTCAACAAAGACGACTTCGCCTGATGAAAAAAGGTGGCGAAAACCGCTGAAGCCGCCTGGACATGATGAGTTTCATCCCCAATGTGAGCCTCGTGGTTTTTCCCAACTGGTTGGTGGTTTGAAACATTCCATATATTGGGAATAATCATCCCAACTGACTTTCATATTTTTCAGAGGGGTTGAAACCACCAACCAGTGGAGCTTGTCCATTTGCTTCAAATTCTGACAATGTCAATAATATTCATTAACCATCGCCCCAGTGCACAAATGTGTGTCTTGAACCTACCTGGTATTGTGGGGATGATGACGCAACCCATAACGAGATCTGAGATACCTAGGAAGAAACCAGTATTTCGCGGGATGGTTATAGATAATTAATTCTTAATCGGCATCCATCGCGTGTTTGGTTTAAGCATCACTAATCATATCTTATCTTATCCACCGATGTACCTACCTACCTAGCTATCCATCTACACGGCAAGACCCCATGGTTTGCCCGCAAGGTTAGAATGGAGTTCAAATATTATCCTTCGACATGCTCAAAAACCTGCGCAGGGCCAGTGTTTTGGTATTTAGCAGACGACGAATCCTAAACCCTAAAACCCTGAAAACTCTGAATCAGAAAGCAGAAAACACTGTGTATACGCAGTATTTTCTGCAATTTCTCTTCTCATGTTCGAAGACAGGGAATCCTTAATGTTGCAGTCCGGGCAAACCACGTGTTCTGTGCGTACCTACAGTATCTGTCTAACTAACCAAAGTTAATTAGTAGATATGTATCTAGATCGAACCAGCCAAAGTTAATCAACTACATATATAATCATCCTGAAGTAGATATTCCCATTTTAGCGACTTTTTTGAAGTTTCCATATTCCATCCAGGATGACTATATAGAATGGTTGGTACATAATGGTTGATACATGATATTATGGTTGATAATCATTGATATAATTAAGGACAATTAACGTTACGTATATATATATACTTAACTCTATTATGATATACATTAAACAATTAGATGTATCTAGATCCAAAATGTATCGCAGTTTAGATCAACCAATGATATTTCTCTCTAGTTCTGCTGTAAATATTTGTATCTAGATCTAAGTAATTAAAAATTCGTCAAACACATAACCACACTAGATGTATATATATATATATATGTATAAACATTATTCCATACAGACTATATGATATATATATATAAATTAATATTTATCAATAATCATATTTATAAAATAATCGACATATAACCATATAACCATATTAAACATATTAATAGAACACTAAATGATAGTTAATTCAATATAATTATATACATATAGAGGCAGTCCATTCCCCACTTATAGCAGATAAGCCACTAGTCTATAATAATAATGGACAGTGGTTCATAGTTAATATACAAATATTAGTTATATGATATCCCCTAGTTATTTATTAATAATGCTAACTAACCTGGTTGGTGGTTTGGAACATGAATTTTATTTTTCCATATATTCGGAATCATAATCCCAACTGACGAACTCATATTTTTCAGAGGGGTAGGTCAACCACCAACCAGATAATTTATTATGAAAAACAACGCCCAAGTGTTAAGCCAACCTATAGACACAACGGGTTGATCCATCCCAGTTCTTTACTAATGATACGACAACCCCTGGTAAATTAACAGAGACCCTGAACATCCCCAATTGATAGTGGAAACTCACTAGTCTTCCAACCCCGATGACTGCCAGGGTCGAACTGTTAATTTACTGGAGGGTAACTAACATACAGAATATTCATGTATCAAATTGATCCACTAACATTAATAACTAACATACTATCACTATCATTGATCCACTAGCTAACATACATTCCAACCGCTGGGCGACCAAGGCCTCCATGGCCCTTTCGGCCCTGAAGCGCTGGCCCGTGGCGCGGTCCATCAAAAAGCCCAAGCGGCCAACGCGGCTGGATCCACCATACCTGGATGCCTGGGGTGCTCAGTGGAGTGGGGGACTTCTTGGTGAATAGAATTGGGGGATTCCAAAAATGGAGTTTTCCATTTATAGTGGATTTTCCCATTAAAATCCTCCATTTATAGTGGATTTTCCCATTAAAATCCTCCATTTATAGTGGATTTTCCCATTAAAATCCTCCATTTATAGTAGATTTCCCCATTAAAATCCTCCATTTATAGTTCATGGAGTTTTGATCGAGTTTGGATTTTTAGTGGATCTTTCTGAAGTTTCTTTGATGGATTTGGATTTCCAGTAAACATCCATGAAAAATCCATGAAAATCCATTGGGACCTAGGCGTTTTTAATGGATTTAATATGATTTAATGGAAATTTAATGGATTTTTAGGTGGTTTTAATCATGATGAAGGATGGCTTGGCTTTTTAAGCAACTAATAACCATTATATAAATGAGATTTCAGCCACTAGTAATTAGGACTTAGGATTTATTGACATGTTTTTTCCAATGGAATTGAATTGGATTTACTTCGGAATTGGATTTACCCTTTTAATGGTTTTTCTATGTTTTTCTTATATCTTATTTTTTCCTGGGGTTGGACTTTGGGTTTGTGCTTTATAGGTTCTTTGGCGTTGGGTTGGACTCTTTTTCCCAGTGTCTTATCTGTTTTATGTTTTTCTTTTTTTAATGGATTGATAAGATATGTATTTATAGTGATCTATGGGGTTTGGAACCACCGAAGCATGTCAGACTTGGTGAACTTTTCATGAAAAGAAAAGTGGGGATGTTATGAACAAAACAAAAATGGTGAACCGGCAAGAACAATCTACTTGGTAACGGAAGGAGAGGTAGCGAAAATACTGATTTGTGGGATCTTGGGAGACTGAGATTTCACTCAGTGATTGCAGCTGCCAAAGTCAAATTGGATGATACCAGATGAGATCCCCCAACTCCCCGTTTTTCCATGGTTTCCCTTTCGGTTGTTAAATTCGGTTAAATAGCATTTAAACCACCATTTCTCAACCACCATCTCTTGTGGGATCTCAAGCTTCGAACTGCGACCGGCATCCGGTGCATCCGGTGCATCGCTTTGGCTCCCAGGATCCCACCTTTGTCCATCCGGACAAGCAGAACCAGGGCGAACGCGAGTGGCTCATGAAGCACAACGGTGGCAACGCCAAGGCGGGGATCCAGGTCACCGCTTTTGCGGTGCTTTTAGCCTCAGAAACGACATCAATTTTTATGGCACTTTGTTGGGAAAACATGGAAAAACCCTATCATATATGTATACGTATATGTATATATATATATACACACATATACATACTGTATATATATATATATATACCGGAACTGATCCCCAAAACTTAGCTGATGCTACTGTACGCTATCCGATACGCTCAAACGTAGCACCAAACTTGGGCATCAGAGTTTATCAAGTTAGTGGAACTGCTCCCTACCATGATGGGTTGCTAATTACTCGTACCAGCTGATAACCCTGGTGAGATAGCCGCATGTATTCCTCGATTTTTGTGTCTTGTTGTTGGAAAGTCTCGTTGTTTCACTTTCCTTAGAAACGCTTTTGATTAAAAAAAAAACATGGGCTTTCTTAAGTCATCAGGGATCCCCAAGCCACCATGGCTGTTTCGTGTTGTTTCCATACCAAGTTGGTCATCACGACTGACCGGGCTCCAGCTCCGGGCTTGATCCTGGCAGGAGCTTCCAGGGCTGCCGGATGAGTATGAATGGATCAAGGTGCGACCATCGATTTTCCTGGAAAGTCAAACATCCCAAAATGGAACTGTCATCTTTTGCCAAGAACCATAATGGATCTTTTGATCACTATCTGTGGATCAAGAACCATGCCATTTTCCGGGTTCTCACATGAAAAGACATGAATGTTCGTTCCCAAAAAAATTGGCGTAGGTATTGAACCATCCCCACATAGTCAACGGAACCCACATTTAGAGATTTGGAATGAATCATTTTGCCAACAAAAAATCCTTTGGAATGTGGAGACTTTGGGTACCAAAATGGGATTCCGAGTTGACTGAGTGGACTTCAAAGTCCCAGAAGGTTGAAATTTGGGGTACCCCCAAGATGAAGATATGGCAGTGTGTCAAAACCTTGTACCCCTGGTGAACATCAAAATAGCTGGTAAATGGATGTTCATCCCACTAAAAATGGTATTAATAGGTATTGATCCATAGCCATATGACGAGGAACGCTCCCCAGAAACAGTGGTGTGTTCTTCTTCGGAAACATGTGCTGAACGAAAACGACCTGAAGCTTGAGAAATTCATCCAGCATATCTCCGATTTTCTTTATGCTTTGAGAATTGAGAAAGTTATCCTGGGGTAAACTAACAATAACTTACATAGATGTGGAAAACCAACGGTTTCCATAGGAAACTGGTCTAGAAATGGTGTATCTAGTGATGGGTTCTCCAGGGAGAAGAGCTTGGTATGGCCGCCAATCCATGGGCACTTTCATCGGCTGATGCAATGACTCATTTGGTTTACAACTCCAAGTCCCCTATGGTTTATGATACTTATAGACTTATAGACTTATCGTAGTACTGTAGTTCATGGGGCTTATAACTCAACCTAGCGATTTCGTTTGGGGACCCACATTGTAAAATCCACTGTTCAATTTGTTGTCACATTTTTCACACCATGATGATGGACAATTTACAGTACCCCCCCCTGTGTGTTTACTGGCAAAACCTACTGATTTTAGATTTTCCCTTGAACCAAGCCATTGATCCATGAAATCCTAGAACTTTTCATGGTTTTTTTTCAGTGTTTTCAACTCTGTTAGACCATCATGGTATCCATACAATGTTGAACCAGTGGTGTTTTCCAGGTGTTTTCCCACATTTTTCCCAGCATTTCCACATCTTTGTTGGATTTCCCACACCGAGATTCGTGCCGTTTTTTTCAACCTTACCGCAGGACGTGGCGGAGAAGAACGAGAACGCCTGGATCGCCGTGAAGAAACGGATGTCCAAGGCGCCCCGGTAGCATTTTCGGATCTAGGGAGTTTCCATTGCAAGATGAGATTTTCCATCCTGCTTGGATGTATGTATGTATATATATATACATATGTGTATGTATACATATAGATAGATACATATTATACATATATATATATACATATACATATCATATACATATATATATATACATACATGTTTCTATATATTTCAACCAAAACCTTCTGGATTTCACCCATTTTTTGTGGCGGTCATCCCTGTCATCCCCAGAAATCCATCCAGGTCACCTTTGACGCCATCAAACGCGCCACGGCAGAGTTGCAAGATGTCGCCTGGCGGGTCATTTCGGCGGATTTCGGACACGGAAACGCCGCGACCAAAAAAAAGGGCAAGATATAGACTTAAGTCATTTACTATTTGTTTTAGATGCTATATGATGTTACTTTTTTTGGGATGTCATTTTCTATGTTTATTTTTTGGATCTTATGTTTTGTTTGAATATTGTTTATTTATGATCTCTTCAAACATTTTTTTTGGGAGTGTGTTATATGTTTCTTTCCCAACTTGGGGGTTAGCAAGAAAAACATCAACCATTTGGTTGGGTATAGCCACGTCCCAGAAAGATGTCTGCCAGCCGTTCTGCTGAAACGTTTCGACGTATCTTTTGGGGGTTATGGATGTCACTGGCAAAGGGATGCCAGGCTGCGTTGCGCTCGGGGGTGCAGTACTGGCGTCTTCGCCCTATTTTCGGGTACGAAAAACTCAGCAGGGCCTTTTTTGCCGAATTCAAGGGACCAAATTTTTCATCAAAAAAGCGACATGACCACGACGGCTTTTCTGAATCAAAGGGGGTGAATCCAACCTGGCCTGCGGGCCTGTAGACTTTGACCTGGCGCCCATGGTGGCTTTATGTGACGTTTCTTGGTGTTTTTTTTAAAGGAAACCTTTTAACGTATTTTATTGTTTCATTGAATGGGAAACCCTTTTAACGAACTGTTCTAATCTGTTCTAGTGTGAAATCATTTGAGCAATAGATTCGCCATGGTCATGTTCATGGTTTCTGTTTACAAAGATTCATTTGGGAATGGATCAAAACCCACTGTTATAACTCCTATATGCCTGGGGGGTGATTCACGCACACACACACAAGAACCAACTATTTTGCATGGGTTGGTAAATGTCCCGTTTTTTTTTTTCAACATCACTTTTTGAAAGACGTATCTGTTCGAGAGATATAGCTCAATACCCCCAATGTTTTTCGTTGGGCGATGTAAACAATTAGGCTAAGGACACTTACAAAAATGGATAACCCCCCCCTAAGCACTGTTTTGGTGTGGTGAAAACCTCGGGAATTTCAACGACCGAGGCTTTATACACCCGGCAACCTGAAGTGATCCGACAGCAGATGGAAGTGGCTAAAGATCAGAACAAGGCTCCGGGCTCACCCCGAGAACATGCGGTTTTCAATACTTGGGCTTTATTTGGCATTATCAACTAGTTTCTATAGATTATTCATGATTATTCCAAAAAACACCTGGTTGATTGGTGAGAAAACATGGGAATAGGGGTTTTTAATCACTCAAAGGGGTGATAAATCATGGTTGCTTAGTTACTTAATGAGGATTCCACCATGAAACATATGGATACAATCTTGAAATTATGATTCGGTGATGATTAAGATACTGTATAATCCTAGCTACTAGATGCTACTAGTATTATACCTACATAAAGGGCATTGCACGATTGTTACTGTTGGCTATGGCGGTTGGGTGTTATGAGCAACTGAAGCTCGCTTCGACATGTTCCTTCAGATTCCATGTTTTTGCAAGACCTGAGTCACGGACAGCGGAGGTTTGCACAGAAGTTGATGGTTGAATCCAAGGGCGATTTATTAATAGGTATAGCTATGTTAGTGAAGCGCATAAGCAGGAATATAAGCCCTATAACTATGGTTATAATATATGGCTATATCTATCCAGCCATAGCCCAGTATTTTATGGGACATAACATATAAAGCCCTACAACTATGGTTATAAATGGTTATAATATATAATTATATGGCGCACATAGCCCTAAAACTATGGATATGGTTACAATATACACTGACAATTGGGACTTTATGTGCATCATTTCTTGCCAGCCTTCATTGGATTCGGCCGGCCTGTTAGCCAGTGGCCTAGTTTCCGTTTCCCACAACTGAGACGATGATCCTCAACGAACCCCAAGATATATATATATAGATAATATTATGTATATATATATACACAATAGTAATATAGTTATTTGTACATATAGGCTTGGGTAAAGCCCTGGGGTACCACAGATGGCTTAGTCTTTTCTTATAGTATTAACCATCCAGTCGGAGTACCCAATCTTGATCCATACCCAGCAACGACAATCGCGCCCGGCACCAGGTGGGTGAAGGTCCAAGTAGCAAGGCCATTTTGCAAGCAGAGGTTGGATGCCGCGCTTTTAGGCTATGGGGATGGGATGGATCAACTGGCCAGGACTATGCCAAAAAGCTGGAAGACTATGCGAAGGCCGGAGATTTTTTTTCGCTGTTCTCGTTAATGGCAATATATTCCAATGAACCACCCACACACCCCAGTTGCATCATTGTTTTATATGTGTAACTATTCTCAGTATTGCCATGACTCTTCTTATTATTGTTTATTCGTATTATCACTATGATTATTTCATTTCTATATTTTTTTTAGCATGATTGCTCATTATAACGGTAATCTCCCAGAGGCAGTCCCTTGCTTTCTCGGTCTCCCTGGTTTTGTCTGGGTCGAGGAGCAAGAGGCACAACGTGAGCACGAGGAGGCGGTGACGAAGATCGGGGTGCCATTCCAACTGGCCTTTCCAATGCATGGTACCCTGGTACCCCAATAGCTGGATGGTTTATATATGTTTAAAATTCAAAACCCTACAAATATGGATGATTTATGATGATTTGGGGGTAGCCCTATGACTTAGGAAACCACCAAAATACTTGGTTTTGTAACAGTCGTAGGGAGTCCCAACTTAGCTTCAGATCTATAGCCAGAAAGATCACCCCAGGCACACCCAGTTTGTATCAACCGACCAATTTGGGTGTGACATTCGAGATGATGTGCTCATGTCAAAAATGATGTGAAATCATACGATTTTATGATGCTTGTATATGCTTGTCATATGGTAGCATTTAGCTTTATGATATGAGAAATTATAGTATATTCCTTTTTAGCATGATCGTTATTGTCATCGTGTCATTATCATGATCGTTCTTGTGATTGACCAAGAGCCACCAATACGACCAGTAGAAGCATAGTGGTATCTTTATTCTTGCCAATGTTCATACAATTGTTTTCAATTAGTATTAATACATTTTCTATAGGTACTATTGTACACTACTATATATACTATGAGTAGATAATTACTACTATTTGAGCACAAGTAGTGATAATGAGTATGGTTATTAGTAGTCAAATCAGTAGCAAATTACAATATTAGTAGTATTGCAGAAAATATGATAATCATTATACCTATATAATCTATATACTATTGGTAATCCCGTTATCAATTATGATTATTACTATTATGGACTTACTATTGGAATAGCGTAGTATCATCATCGTTTCTAATTGGTGATACTAATTAGTACTACGTATATTATAATCAATGTTAGTATAGTCTACACTATTGATGCCAATAGTGTTACAACCATTTACTAGTATCAGTAATATTATTGATATATTACTATATTATAGCATTAGCTTATACCATTATCATTATCTCATCATTCTCATAATCATCATTTTACCATGACATACATGATATGGTTGTATTAGTATCATTAGACGCAACAACCACTATTACAATTGTTGTTTGTTATTTGAACATCGTTATCATAACTACTATAATAACATCATCAATATCAATTTTGGTTATTGATATATCATTTTTTAACACTGCTCTAATATATATATATAGAATACATTCATGGCATCAGTTGTATTATTACAAGGTGGCCCCCCATTTATAAGTTGGTTTATAGACTTATGAACTATAGTTAGTTTTACCACCATAAAACCAAACGTTAATCAAGCTATGTTCGTCAAGTGAGCTATTTATTATTTTTAGGGGGCATACTATATATACTCATACGATAGTGTTAATATTTTACTATCTACTATACACTACTATGTTACTATTACTCCCATGACTATATTGTAGTGATATCAATCGTCAACCATTAATAATGTTAATGCTCCCATACTATGTAACATTACTGTAACCATTACCATTTATTTACTATTTCTATTTTTCCTGGTTTAATGACTACTATCAATTATTATTGTAATTACCGTATTATATATCAATACGTTACATTACTACTATTCAAATTATTACTACTATCACTATACTACTATCACTATTCATATTATTCCTGTTAAACTTAGTTTTATTCCGATAAACTCAAATGCTATTAGTATCATTATTTTCGTTTTTGTATACTACAATACTCTTACCACTTACCACTATCATATTGCTATCTATTTGATTACTTTTGATATGATATCGCATATACTAATAGTGGGAATATGATACCATATTATTACTAACTATTATTACTATTATATTAGTACTATTACCATTATATTAATAGTGTCACCATTATACGACCATATCATCATCATCAAATCACCCCCATGTCCAGTCACTCCCTCAGGAGGAGCTTCGACAGGAAGCGGCCGAATTGGACTTGACGGAGGTGCCTGGAACTGGAAAATGTGGGGTTTAATGGGGTTCAATGGGATTTCATGGAGATGTTCATGAGAACCGGGAATTGAATGGGATTTTGTTGGGGAAAACTCATGGTGATCTTCAGAATTCGATGGACATGGGAAATTTAATGAGAATTAGATGGGATTTAGTGGGAAGGAAATTGGCATTTCACGGAATTTCATGGGGATATTAATGGTGATAAAATTCACCAACTTAATGATTTGATATTATATTGGCTCTGGGAATGGGGGACACATTTGTGGCTATCAATAATAGGAGATAATAGGAGACACTATAATGAATTATATATAATAAGCATCACACGTTTTCTTTCCTAAGTTTCCACGGGCACCGAATTGGTTGAAGGGGTTTACAAAAAATATTCAGTGCTGGTTTCAAACACTTTTACTGTATATTCAAGGTTTTTTAACCATAGAAATATGATGATGGTTCCAATTGACGATCATATTTTGCAGATGGGTCAAGCACTTCATGTGTGGGTCGGTATTAAAAAACATTCAATCACCATGGTTTCGTTTCCCCTAAGCCTTAAACTGCGGAAAATTAGCACGTGAACAAAAATGGAATGGATCAAATTCCTGGTGAAACTGGGACAGTGCTACATTTTCCCAGGATAGAGGCAACACGGGATGGCAGATCTTCGTAGATAAAGTATGGTCAATCATGGTACGTCCCGGTATATGAATAGTTTCAACAGTCAACATTGAATGGCACACCCACATACTGAACAAAAACAAAAATAATACAAAATAGCAAACTCATTTACAAAACACATTCAAAACCTGGCAAAACTAGTCATCATATACTTAAATGGGTTTGTCTAAAATTTGGTACCCAAGAATCCCAAAGGATCATATCGTTTTCCCCATTTTTTAACATGGTTTGTCTTATTGGGGGTCAATCCCCATTTTCAGAGGAACGGAAATTCATGGATATTTGCATATATTGGTGGTTAACATATCACATCAATGATATCCCCATTCTACTTTCATTCTACTGCCATTCTACTCCCATTCTATTCCCATTCTACTGCCATTATCCCACGATATTCGACTATATACATCCCATGATCTTTCTACAAAACTGATAATCTTTCAGGTGCTCTGACCAGGTTTTCGTTAAATCCTGAGCTAAACGATGACTTAAGTGCAACGATGGTATAAATGACTTATATTTCGCTGCACTGAAAAATCTGGGGAGTCACTAAATACAAATCTACTTTGAGATATCTTGAGGACCAAATCGTTTTGTTTTGGAATAACTGTACTTTATCCAAGCAGTTACTGTAAACAATCGAACATTGCCAAGCTGATCCTGCAAAAATACTCCTGAAAAAACAACAAGACAAAGCCGTTAGGACTAGCAATATGACTTGACCAAGAATCCCCCAGGGAATCGGTGTGGCTGACGGTTTCTGTAGGTAGCACGGGTAGTTTGACCATATTTGACCGATGAGGCTTTAGTTCCCTCACGAGCTGGAAGGAGCCAAGTGCTACACTCAGAGTGGGCCATAGGTTGCCCTTTGGGAGCCAGGGATGGGAACCATATCTGTAGACAATTGGGAACTTGGAAGCCCAGTTGGCCCTAGAAGAAAATAAATCAACCAGTGACCTTGGATCTAAATTGAACAGCCAAGATGCCCAAAATACCTTGGGCAGATGTTTGAAGTCCAAGCATTAAAGACCTCGCCTGGTGGATTTTGATGTGCTTTAAACTGGAATTTCCGGGAACGGATCTGCTTGGCAACCAGGGCTGCTGGGCAACATAATGTTAAGCTGACAGTTTTTGTTGGTGTTCACCACCAGGGCACTGCCAAACCTGTAATAGCTTATATACTGCAACTCCCCAAAAAGATGCGGAGTCGTGTTTCCAGGATGGTATAGAACTTACTTCTTATTTCAACGTTTGCAACTTTTGTATTTTGGGTTTGCTATACGTTATCCTATTTCTCTGGTACTTAGATTGCCGTCTCAACAGGTAGTTGTTTAGTCACCATGATTGGCAAGTTCACACTTTTTTTTGATTCAAGAGGTTATCCAAGTGAGAAGACGGTCTAGCACCATGATTACCGATGAGTTTTTCTCGTTCTCATCAAAAAACATCTATAATAGCAGTACAATTTCTGTTGGTCATCTACAGACACATACTGTCACATACATTAATAAAACAATGGATAATAACACATCAGAATAAAATAACTAGCAGATAGCCAAGTTGGCTCATAACATTCTACAACATCCATTACCCTCTGGTTATTTAACATAGCCATGGGAAATGGCCCATTGAAATAGATGGTTTATCTATTAAAAATGGTGGATCTTTTCATGGCTATGTTAGTTTACCAGAGGGTAAATCTCCATTAATCACAACTGATAATTATTGATCATCATTATTAACCACGATTATTAACCCATTTATAGTTGATTTTCCCATTAAAAATGGTCATTTTCAGTAGCTATGTGAGTTTACCAAAGGGTAATATGCTTTATGATACGCTTAAATAACGTCTCGTCTTCGAGGCTGGCTTCGCCTCAAGTCATCCCCTGCAGCGCTCACGAAAACGGCTCTTTGTGAAGGTGGGACGTCACCGTTCGGATGGTTCGGAACGGACGTCCTAGCCGTTGGGACCGTTTGGGGACCCTGTGGTCATTTAAGATAGCTATATATATATATTATATACTATATACAGTATATACAGTATATTATATTATATATAATATATATATATATATTATATTATATATATATGGTATAGATATTTGTATAGATAGCCCATTTACTTTGAGGATTTACCTTGCTGCTTATGAAATGTGCTGATGTATCAGTGTTTTGTCCTAGCATGGCCATGGAAATCCTTGGTTGCTTCCCGTTCGGAAATGATCTTCGTGGATTTTCCATGGGGTTTTTCCATAGCTTACTGGAGAGAAATGGGTTGCTGCAGGATGTTAACCCGCCAACATGTGGATTCTACTGGGTTCCATGGATCTTTTTGAGACTGGCATCCTGGCATGATTGGTTTCCCGAATGCGTAGCGAAGGCGAAGGGTTCTGGTTTATCACTGGGGGTTGGGGGTTGGGGGTCTGGGTGTGTTCGTGTGTGTTCGCTCGGGGTTACTTTGCCGGCCGCAGCTGGCCGCAACCGTCCGCCGCCATTCGCAATGAGGGACCTTGGTGGGTGCTGCAAAAGTTGTCGTCTCTGGAAGCCTTGAGAGACGTGTAACGTCGTTTTGCGATGCCCCTTTGTGACATTTCGACGAGTTTGAGAAAGCGTCAAAAGTCGTTTTGTGTGACAGACGCAATACTTTTAAAATGCTCTTCTTAAGATGATTGGCATTTTTTGTGGCAGGCGCAGCACATTGAGATATCCATGTGTTTCTTTGTGGCCGGCGCAGCACGTTAGACGTGCGGTGCTGCGCGTTGTTTGCAAATCGCATTGGAGCTGCTGTGTCAAGTGGTGAGAAAGTGCAAATATCGTGGCAGGCGTGGTACATTGTGACGTGTCATGAGAATTAATGGTAGCCTCGAACGAAACATCGATTTTGGAGTATCTTGGGATTCTTGTTGAGCTACAACATGTTCTTAAAATCTGCGGAAGTCCCGTACGAAATGAATTTTTGAGCCTCCTGAGCCCTGACCCCCGGCAGATCCTCCTGCGGCGCGCGCGTGCGTACGAACTGCTGGGGCAACGCGACGCGAGTCTGGAGGATCTGAGAGCCGTCAGGGTGCCCTAGGCATTGAGAGCCATGTTTTCGTTTTTTGTTTTTTTTAAAGCCACAGAAAGGTGGATTTAGTCAAACGTAGTCAAACCGTATTTTTGTTCAAAGCAACAATAATGGGGATTTAATCAACGGATACTAACGGTATATGGGCACAGTATACATGTTTTAAATGATTTTTAATGAGACAATGATGATAAACTGATGAAACATTGGATTTTGATGGATTTTGGGGTCTCCCTTTCTTGGACCAAAACATGGCTTTCAAGACACATCTTTGTGCGGTCCATTCTCCGTTGAATCCAGTTGAGGAGTTTCGGATGATGGCTTTAAATGGCTTTGGCTCGAAAGGGACATTTTAGGGGAACTCCCAGTTTGACCAGAGGCCAGACACACCTTTTAGATCCTTTTGGTAGGTTTCTTCATCTGCGCAGATGTCGGCTTCAGCATACCAGTACAGCAAATTGGGTGCACTGCCAGCTTTTCAGGTGGTTTGGCCCAGCAAGACCTGTCACACCCTGACACGGCAAACATGGCTACTAAAAAACAAAACCAAGGGGGAATCTATATACAGGAAACCATATGAAACCATACTATTTGATGGTAAAATCGATTTTCTCCAAATAAGATTATACTTTTATCATGGTCTCTATAACTGATTTTGTTTAATTTACATGAATTCTCCATATTTCTCGGGAAACTCCATGTTCATGTCCGAAATCTCCCTTAAACAAATTCATTGAATTGCGGCCCCCAGGCATCCAGTCAGGCTGTTTGCCTCTCCAGGGAGTCGACTTCAACCCTCATTTCATGGTCTCTATGGAAGCCAGTTGCTGGTTTCATATAACATCATATAACTATATATTATATATTATATATATATTATATATAATATATTATATTATATTATATATATTATATTATAATATATATATGTACACATATATTCCCCTTTTTGGGATGATTTTACCACAGCATTGATACTTTTCAAGGGGGACACAAGCGACCAATCATTTCCCACTTGTGACTGGGATCTCCTCCATATTTCGACGCCATTGGCCGGCAGCGGGTGTGCAGATGGACAAACTTCATTCTGCATCTTGGAATCTCAAGACTTGGGTTCAAAATGTCAGGGGATAAAGATGGAATCCAGGAAAGGATATACAATCACCAAGCAAGCTAGAGATTGTAGCAATCAACGGATTACATATTGATGATCGAAGCAATATTTTCTTTTGATCACCGTAGTTGATCAGCCCTGGAGTTCCATGTGTCAGCTATTGGGAGCGATAGAACACCTTCCGAAAACGGGCTGGGAGACAACCAACTTTGAGGATGAAGTTGTTGGTGGATGCTTTGTTGGGTCGCAGCGAACTCCCATAGTGACATCCCCCATTTTCATTGCTGACCTCTTTGTTTTGGGTGTTTTTTTCATCCCAATCCCTTTCCCATTTTCTTGGATCATTTTCATTAAATCCACATCGATCCACCATTTTCATTGCTGAGTTGTTGGTTTTTCTTTTTTTGACGTGGGTCAGACCACCATTTTTTGCTGCCCCAAAAAAACGAACCGCACGAGCCGCAGCTGCCAGTAAGGCCTTGCAGAGCTACGATGCAGCTGCCACTGGGACATCGTGAAATCCTGGCCAAGAACCTGCCAAGCCAATTAGCCTTCGGTAGGATGTGAAAACTGAGCATTTAAATATATTTAAATAGATTTAATGGGATTATCTAAGGATTTTATAGGGATTTTATAGTTTTTTTTTTGAAGGGAGTTATATCATGGGATTTCAATGGTGATCTAATGGGATTCACCATCCATTTGGTTCGGGGATTTTCAATTGCCACGTTTGATGATCGGAGGGTAGAAAAGAAAACATGATCCGGGCAAGAGACCCCGAAAAAGTGTTGCAAGGAGCATAACGAAGAGATACCAGGCTAGATTCTGCAAGTGCCCTTTGTGAAGATCTCTGTAGAAGATCGTTTGCAAGACTCCTTGACAGGTTCTCTGTAGAAGCTGCTGTGCAAGATCCCTTTGTAAGGCTATTTGTACAAGGTCTCCGTAAGATCTATAAGAGATCTCCACGCAAGATCTCTGCAAGAGATCTCAAAGTGAGATCTCTGTTCTCTTGACAAGGTCCAAGATCTTCACAACAAGGTCTCTTGGCAAGATCTCTGCACAAGCTCTCTGAAACACATCTCCCGGCAAGATCTCTGTAAGAGATCTCTGAATAGGATCTTTGTTCCAGCTATCTGTACAAGCTCTCTATATTCTATACAAGATCTACTGGCAAGATCTCTGTAGAAGACCTTTTGGCAAGGTCTCTGTCCAAGATCTCTATAAAAGGTCTCTTGTCACGATCTGACAGGGCCAGGAGGAACTTTTGTGCCGTAAGGGTCACCAAATTTGCCGGACATGGATGAGACCACCTTGAACGAACACCAGGCCTTAACAACTACCATAAGAACCCTAAGAGTGGCCACACTGTTTGGGGAATGACCAAATGACCTGAATCTTTTGAAAAAACTTGTAGTTAAAGAAGAAACACAATGCTTTATCATTATTTTCACACAGAATTTCGAAAATCATGTAGAAGGCCAATGAAAACAGATATGCAATTATACATTTACTACATTAACAGCTGGATCTTTGACTGCGACCTCGCGGCGGACTAGGGTTGTTCTAGGTGAAGCGGGCACTACTCAAATGACCCCAAAATTGTTTTTTTTTTTTCCGCCTTTGACTTTAATGCCGTGTGACAGCGGTAGAGACAACCAGCTACGCGTGAAGTCCCCACCAATGATTGTGATCATTAATTTAAAAAAACAAACAAAACCAACAAAAAACAACAAATTCAGGGGTGACGACGAGACACACCATGGGACAGTCGAATGCACGGATGCAAAATGACAGATGCCGGATCGAATGCAAATGAATGCATCCTCCCAGGGTGGATACACAGGTGCCGATCTGTGTGTCCACTAAGGACGGAATGGCATACACATTTTCCTCTTTTTCCCCATTGGGGTGACAAAAATAGAATGTAGTTTTTGATACGGCAGGGCACCGGTGGTTAAAGATGCAGTCAGTTTAACAGCAGGGACCCAAAAACTATTTCCAAGATCCTTCAGGGCGCCTGATTGCGAGACCCATTCACCAGGGAAGATAGGACACTGGTGGTGACGGGTCCAGTTAACAATAGGGTTCCAAGTAAAACTTTGCTGTGAAAGTTTAAACTCAGTTTCAGCATATTCCAAGTTCTGATCAACAAGATAATATTGGCATTTGGCTGATTTTTTCCCTTAGGTTTGACTGGAAGGGGTACTATGGTTTTTGTACATAATGCAAAGTCTATATATAGTTCCAACATGGCCATGGATTCCACATTGGACCATTGCAACAACTGTGCCCAGCTGCTCAACCTATTCCAAAAAAATTCACCAAAAGGCCAATTTTCAGGGCAGGCCTGGGGCACATTATGGACAAAGAACGGACCAACGGGGATACGTGTTGTAAAATCGATGATGGCATCAGGTTGAATCTTAATCGGGGAATCCGTGACCTTGGATGCCATGTGCTTAACAAAATTACAATATTCAATCAGGAATTCTTGTTTTTCTGCCGATATGGCATAATGGCTAGAAGCTTTTGCAAACGTGGGATTCCAATCAAGGAGGGCTTGCTTCGCATAAGCGTCTACAGTATTATTTGCCATTGCTTGCCATTTCAAAAAAGGGTCGTCAATACTCTCAATACCCCAAAATTGGATGGTTGAATCATGGTATTTTGTATAATATTCATAAATACACGATATTTCATGATATATCTATCCATATATATATATATTATATATAATTATATATATATATATTTACACATCCTATATAATAATCACATAGATCAATATGATGCCGTTTGCATCTAATACCTATCTACATGCATTGGATTTAGATATCAGTATCTAATCTCTATCCATGAGCCATGGCCCATGACCCACCAATGTCCTGTTGCGTCAGGTGTTGTCTCGGCCCTTCGCCACCAATATGGCAACCTGCGGCCTGATCAGCATGTTGTCCGAACTTCTCCGCCAACGCATGCTCGGAGCAGTTTGGCCAAGCTGGATTTGACCATCAAAAGATGTGGGGCAGTGGGGATATGGGAATATTTGAACTCATGAAAATGGGGGGTTTAACCAGCGAAGAATGGGGAAACCTAAGGGAATTATGGGGTCTATCAACCAATTTATGGGGATATGATGAGAATTTGATGGGGACATGATGGTATATAAACAAATATTACAAGATATATAACTAGCCACCTCGACGTGATATTTGGGCATGTCCGAAAATGGCGCTTGACCCCCCATTTATTGACCCTAAATCTATAGCCATTATAAACAGTGAGGAACATGACGATTTACCAACGGATGGAATGTTTTTCCCCAAAAATTTTCAGACAGACCCGGATGGTTGAGGGTCGCTAAGATCAGTGGTTACTTCTACCCTCTGGTAAACTGACATAATTATACATAATTATGGAACATCACGATCCGGTGGACACCCCCATGATTCACGATCTTTAATAGGTAAATCAACTATGAATGGGTAATTTTCCGTTACTATGTTAGTTTACCGGAGGGTATGGCTTTTGAATTTTGACCACTCGGCCTCAAGGCAGCTGGACACCACTGCAGGTGTGGATTTTCCCCACCATGTGGAGATGACTTTCACAGAGAAACCATGGTTTTTCCACATCTATTTTAGTTTACTGGGTACATCTCCTTCTTTGTCACTTAACCTCTGAATTGGTGATTGGAAACACCTCGAGTGAACAGGACCAGTGGGGTTCCATGGTCAAAGTTGGAGGCTTCCTGATGACGAGTCGTTTTTCGTCCTTCGGCAAAAATCATCTGTAATCTAAGAGTTTTCTAGACCATGGCTTCGATACTTAGGGGTGCGGCCCCCACTTATATCATGGGTTTTACTTCCAGTTAGATTCA